AAACTGCAAGTATTTAACTTCCTTCCACAACCATCTGACAACTAATTAAACCCACACTGTATAAAAGCATAAGCTTTCCCACTGTTCTTGATAAGGTCTTTTGGCAAAACTCTGCTACCCAAATACCAGATTCTCTTCTTTCCAACTCTCACAAGCAGCTCAAGACCCCTTTGGCTTCCTCTTCTCCCTCTCCACACATTGCAGACATGAGCACATTTCCCGTTCACTTTTTGGAGCTTTCCTCTCACGATTAGGTCAGGAGAATGAAGAAAACACATTTTCTGTGTAAAGTGATAGGCCTTTCAGGATAGACTATTTGAGCTTTGGACACTAAAACTGAAAACATCAGCATTAGGTTATATGCCCGCTTTTAGAGGGCCTGTTGACAAGCAGCAAGGTAATGACAACAGTCTTACTCAATCTAAACAGAACAAGCACTAATGTCTAATTATGATCTGAATATTATTTGAAGCGTTATGGCGGTCAGTTCTTTAGCCAACCACAGGAAAAGTACCGCTACTTTTCCTATCTCTAAGTGATTTTTTTTTTCTTGAACGTGCTCTGCAAGCTCTTTACTACCAGTACAATATAAAGAAACATGGGCATAACCTCGAAGTCAAAACTGGTTCCTTCCGTTTCTTCTTTCGGAGATGAAGCCACCTCAGCTCCTTCCACGTATTTGCAGAGCGGTGATGCCCAGGCGCGGGTTGTCCCTGGAGGCCCCCCTCGGTCGGCAGGACGCTCGGAGCCGAGCAGGGCACTCCAGCAGAGGGCTCAGCGGTGCCGAGCACCGGCCAGCAAACACTTCACTGCTTCCAGAAGGACATTCCTATTGTAGGGGCTAAATAGCTAACGTAGAATAAGCTGAGTCTTAGAGCACAAGGACCCATGATAACTGGCAGAGTCCGGATGCCCTGCTCATGGCAAGGTCTGGACCCTTGAGAGGTGGCGGGGTTAGGGTGCCCTGCCCTCAATCAGGATGATAGAAGGGCTGCTTATCCAGATGTTTTAATTCAGCAAAATAGATAACATTAACAAGAATGCAAAACAGGAAAACGGGAGGGGGGAACACTCTTGGGTAAGAACGGTATAAAAGAGGGACGCCCGAAGTGGTCGGGCTCCGTGGTGTGACCCCTGCGTGGGAAAGCCCGGACCCCAGCTAGCTGGTAATACTTATTATCTTTCTCTTATTATTAAAAGGCACAAAATATCGATGGTGTTTGCCTCTTTCTCTGTCGATTTGAAAACCGGACCTAACACTATTTATACAGCAAATGCTGCCATCTTTTGCAAAGTGTGTCATTGCTGATTTATGCTCAGCTTATGATCTATTTGAAGATGTTTTTATGTTTCACATCATTTTCTCCCTGTCACTCCTTATACTGTGTTTCTGTGATTGTTTTTTTAAAGTTGCTATTTGTCTCTGATGAATTACATTTTATTTTTCAGATCATTTTTCTAGTTTAAGAATCGAATCCTGTCTTTCAGCATAACAGCAGACTTCCCCAGTTTGGTATCACAAATTCGTACGAACATGCTTTTCTCCCTTTACTTCCTACAGCCTTTTTCTTCCCAGACAAGATAATCCCAGATCTCCTTACTCCTCCATTTAGAGGGAAAGCCATCGACAGTTATTTTGAGTGCGCAAGCTCTTCTTCACAACCCAAAACTCAGTAACATTTTCACTTCTGGTATCTCCAAGTGAAAATATCTGTTTAGACAGTTTAAGAGAGATAATACCCTACTTCCCTTTTGCTCTTCTAAAAGAGAGAAATGTGTCTTCCTTTGCTAAAGGTTGTCTTCTGCGCGTTTTCAAAAAACAATAAAACAAAATAAAAAAGTGTTCTCCTAGGATGTGTTCCAATCACAATACACAGCTCATGATACACATGATATTCCTGTAAGTAGCTGTATAACTTACCTGTACTTTTCCCCTTTTTCAGTTAGTTGTCTTTTCAATAAGAATTAAAACAAATGAAAAAAATGCTTAAATAACTTCTTGACTTTATCTTTTCATAGCTCCCCAGGCTTGCTTGTTCTGTCTACCAGAATATCTTTCTTTGGTCTTCTTTCTTACTTCCCAGACCTCTAGTTATACCAAATATTTATCTTACTGTCTTGCTTTATAATATTGTGCCCCTCCTTGTCCCTTCAGTATTTATGCTGGAATTGTGAAATCCATCATTTTAAGATCTCTCTTACCCAGGAAAAAAACTCAGCAAATTACATCTTATTATTGAGGAAGTTAAAACTGAGCATCTTGCAGATGCTTTCGTCATCTGCCATAATCCGAAAGTATTCAGAATGACCTAGACAAAACCTTTCCCAGATGTCCCAGCAGTTGTCATCCCTTTTACCACTAAGTTTTGTACGTGCCTGGTTCTCCTAACTGCTCTTAAGAGGAGCACACTCTGGATTCTCCTGGCTTTGTGAGCAAGCACAGACCTTTTGCATTTTGTCTCCCTCTTATTGCTGCCGAAGGGGTTTACAGCAGGCTACGTCCTGCGTTACGGACCTGAGAACCAGTGTATATGGCCTTTGCATCTAGGGTACGCCACTTGCTTTCCCTTCCTGCCAGTCTCTACACAAGCTCTGTACCTGCAACATATTGCTCCAGGCAATGAAAACACCTCATCAGATCTAATAACCGAATTAAGTTCCTTAAACATTTATGTTTTGCCAGTCAAATCCCCTAGCCAACAAAGGCATTGCTGTAGGTATGCCAGACTTGAGGAGTTTGGTAACAGTCCCAAGAGAATCTACAAGTTAGATAATCATTTATTTGTCAAGAATTCAACAGTACAACCATTTTTTTTATGCACATATGCACCAGATATGCACTAGACCAGAGTATAGTACAAATCTGTTGATAGCATATGCAGAGACCATTAACTGAACCAGAGAGTTCATGCACGTCTAACAATAAGTCCATGGCATTTATTTTAAAGGAAGAGGACCTGCAAATCAGCCTTTTAAAAAATAATTTTAATAAGATCTTCTCTAAAATTTTAAGGTTAGTTATATAACTATCTGTTCAATTTCAAAGAGCTTCTGCAGGAGCTTTTGCCAGATTCATACTCCAAAGTATGAATCACTCCTAAAAAGAGTGCCCTAATGAGGAAGATATAAGGAAAGGAACTGAAACACACTCTTTCATTCTTATAAATCAGGAGTATTCACAGATAAGTGCTTGCACAGTCTGTATATTAATTAGAGTTTATGCAATTCAAAAAAAAATCCTTTTATACTGCAGTATTTTCAAGTCCATTATTTATAGAAAACATTGGAGGTGCCCATGTCACAAAACGTGACTAAAATACCAGGTTGGATCAACACTGAGGTAATACAATATGCTTCAATTTTCTCTAAACTCCATAAAAGAAAGTATGGAGGTTTCATTAAAAAACAAATTAAAAAAAAAAACAACTCAATAAAATCAGTCTAAACAATCTATCAATCAACCAATTTCATAACCTCTACTCAAAATAAACCTCCTTTTTATTTATCTCTAGATAAATAAAAATAAGCATCCTTATGGAACTAAGGATCTGGAAACGAGACCCAGAAAGAGGCGGAAAGGAACCTAGTCTCTCACCATCACAGACAACTGCATTATATCACTTGTTCATTTTTTTGTCCTATCATACAACCAAGTTACTTTCTACCAAGAGTGAAGTAAAACTGTATTTCTAGATTCTACTTGGGCCTACAGCCCAAGTTTATTAAAATTCTGGTGACTTTTTGGTTGCAACATCTGGGACAAACGTAGCAACTTCTCAGATCCCCAGAAAATTTTTGGAGACACTTCATCTCTATAAACATAGCAGAGCAGCAGGAACCAAGATCTCTAGAAAAGCCATAGATTTGATTCTCTGTACAAGCAGCAAACATCAACTGACCAGCATCAGGGAGGAGAAACAACAAAAGTAATTACTTTGAAGGAGTATGAGAGAAGAAACAGATTAGAAGGACAGAAAATAAGGACATTGATTTTGTTCAACAGAAACTTCCGTTTTAGCATTAGCTAAAGCATTAGTTTTCCCATAAATTAATTATTTCTTCAAAGTTACAATTCAGGAGAACGCAACCAGTACAACACAAGCTGCTTGCTCTTCTACAGTTGAAAATGCAGAAAATTTCCTCCTAATGGGGATGCTAAAACTGCTGAGCACAGAGAAGCTGAAGAGGAAGAGCAAAGATAAAATGCAACTTAACTATGCAGGTGATTTTTCTGAGTTGGCTGCACAATGAAATGATTTTGCTGGTCAAATGTCTTTTTTCTTTTTTTTTTTTTTTTTTTCTCAAGAGCAAAGGGAACTGATTGCAATAGAAACTGCCATCTTATAAATAGGTACTTGGGTATTTTTGGCTGGAAGGGCTTATTGCTCTTGATTATGACTTAATTTACTGCAATAATTACCTGAAAATAACAACCGAGCTTAATTCTTAGTTATACTGAGGCCTCCTTTCACTACTGTGATAGCAGAATACATTTTGCATCCATATTTTATTTCATTTTGCATCTTCCTGACAAGAGAACACTTTAATCTCTGGAGGATAAAGCCTTTTTACAAACCTTTCACTGATGAAGTTTACATCTAATAACTCAAGCCCAAACTCTTCTGCTTGGAAGTAACGATAATTCAAGTTGGAATTCATACCGAAAAGATCAATTTCAGATTTTCCTCTTCTAAATTTAAAAAACCTTGAATCAAAATGAGCATATCTTACCACTCATAGTTCATGCACACTTTAACATGTTAGATGGAAATCAGATAAGCAAAAAATCTAAGGTAGAGACGTTCATAAAGCCATATAAGCATACACTTAAAAACATCATACATTTCTAAAGGTATGCAAGATGACACCATAATGCTTGAAGACGGTTCATCTTTCTATGGAACTATACATTTACACTCACTTAAACTGAACTATCATGAGCGAAACTGTTGATATTCAGGTGCTAGCTGCAAATTCTGTGTTTTTACACATCTACATACCTGTTCAAGTTCTCCTGAAGAAACAGGAGTATCCTCATACGTAGGGAAATGGCACCCTGCTTTACAACCGCAGAACTTGTTCGTTTCCTCCCGTGGCTCCACTATTCTGCAGTTTACTTTGGAGCTCTCCATCGCCCTCCCATCCAGAGATTCCTTCATACTACACTCTAAACACGGATCTTGGCTTCCTACTGGCAACATCCCAGCCGACTCTTCCTGGGAATCCAATGATGTCTGCGCACTCTTCTCCATTCCCGACTTTTTTAATCTGGGAAGGAATTTTCCAGATTCAAGCTCTGATTTTCCATAATAATGCCCTTCTTTTTCTGCATCTTCTTCCAGAGGTTTGAGATCTGCTTGTGGATCCTCAAACACATCTACTTGAGAAGGGACAGCGATACTTCCCTCATCTTTTTCTGACTCAAATTCTGACTCACTTCCACCACCTGGGGAAAGTTCAGATGCAGAAATCGGGCGAAAGTGAGTCCTTGGAGAAATCCGTATAGCCCTGTACTGCGTTCGATCAACCCCACATATTCTAGGGTGCAAAACCTCACTGTCTGAATCAGAGCACAGAATTGACTTGGGTTTAAAACTAGGGCTGAAAGATGCAATTCCTTCTGGCTCAAATGAACACTCTACATGAAGAACTTGTGAAAATGGATTGTTCAGGTCAAAGGAAGAGAATGAGTATTCAAGCCCTGGTTCTTCTACTTGAAAGTTACCGCAAGCTCCCAGTAAGTCTTCATGGAAGATAAAAGAAAAACCTTTATTTAATCCGTTATCTCCACTCTTGGATTGCTCATTCTGTTCAAATGACACAAATGGCCTCCATAACTGCCTGTGACCAGGGGCAAAGCTGTTACCTGGAGTCATAAAGACATCTGTGCCAGCTATTGTCACTACATCAGAAGCTGCACACTGCAATAAGCTCCCTTTTGAGTGACTGGGTGGCACCACGGCCCATTCTCTGTCACTGTTAAATGTTTTGAGCTCCCCATACACACCACCAAGAATAAACGAGTTTTCTTTTTCCTGGTTAACATCCCAAGGTTTTGATGGTGTAGTGTAGTCACCACCATCTACTTTTGATAAATCATTTGAAACAAAGGCTCTCTTCTCTAAATTCTCCTTTTGACCTTCCCAGAGATGATACTCTGATCTTTGCACTGCTTTATTGGGCTCCTGGAGGGTTTCACCTTTTGCTTCTGTATCCAAACAGCAGCAATAGTTATTTACATCAGTTGAAAACAAATCATCTTCCATTCCTTCTATTTCTACCACTGCCGCAGAATTTCTGTCTGCCATATTTGTCCAGATATCTTTAATAACCCCTGAGCTGTAGCCTTCTCCATGTGGACTGCTTTCACTACACCCTTGTGTAGCTTCATAGTCTTTACTTTCTGCTTTTTGTTCTAGCTGAATACCACAGACAGATTCTAGTTTAGATTTTGTTTTGAAAATCAAAGTGGGCATTTCTCCTAAAGTTCTAGCTTGTTGCTGGCAGGCTTCTTCTGGCAAAAAATCTAGAATTTCTTCATCTACATAACTTGAAGACACCCTAGGAACTACATAATTAATATCTTCTGCATTAAATTGCGTGGATTCTTCATATGGAATATTTAAAGTCTCATTATCTGAACGTGTTTCTTCCGAGTGTGACCATGGACTACAGGTTCTCGTTGAAAGATTGGAACAGTGTTCATTTTCATCAAAGGCACTATTTTTGGTCCATATTAGCAATCTAGACTGTGTTTTCCCAAGAATATTAGCAGTGCTACTAGAATCTGCGTTTTCGTTTCCCAAATTGAGTGTTTCAAAAGAAAATGGTAAAACAGAGTTACTGCATTGCACTTCAAACACTGAAAAACAAGAGTTTATACCAGACCCTTCATTAATATCTGAAAAGAGCTCTTGATTGCCAGCAAGCATGTGTGAATTAAGCATTGTGCTGTCTAAGATGGGGGAGAATCTAATAGGAGAATCTCCTCCAAAACTTTCCCCATCTGCATCACCAGAACTAGAAGATGAACAGCACTCCCAAAATTGAGCTAAATTACTAAGATCTTGCAAGAACCACCCTTCAGCACCAACAGAGCTGGTTGAATCTGTCCATATTGCACTTTCCCCTTGCAACTCCATTCCATCTAACACTATGCAACATTCTGCCTCAAAATCACTTTTTTCTTTACTCTTTTGTCGAATCATATTTAAAATCCGACTCTCCCCTTGCATCGTTTCTGAGGCACCAGGATCCAACATGGATTGATCAATATCCACTTCGTAGAAGTGTGTTAATTCTGACAGATGAACATCATCTAAATATTTGTCGTCCTCCGGTTGAGAACATATTGAGGTCCCAGCGAGGTCAATATCCTCATTTAGAACTGCAGGCATTTCTACAAAGTGACCATCGATGAAAGTACCTGCTGCGAGGTATGTTTTATGAATATTATTGTTGCTAATACAAAGACCATGCACTGATTCAGACAACTCGTCTACAGCTTCTGGTGTTACACCACATATATCTTCTCGGTTGCGGTACGTAGTTTCAAGCTTGCTTTTTCTGCTAAGAGGAACAAAGTACTCTGTAATCGGCTCAGTATACCACAAGGGTTCTTCTTTGTACTCCTTCTCATTTCTGCTGTCTAAATACAGATCTTTTCCGTCGTTACCGCCTGCTTCTTTCCTTCCAATTTCTTTCAATGGCCTTTTACCTCTTTTGCAGAGCTGTTTGATGGACCCACTGCTGCTGCTGCTGCTGCTGCTTCCACTGTGGATTTTTCTCTCAGCTTTTTCAACAGATTTCACCGATAGCCTGCTTTGCCCATTACGCCCTTTTTTATTTCGAACCTCTCTTGTTTTGTGTCTCACTTTAATGCTTTTCATCGATGCCTTGTATTCACCTTGATTGCCACTAGAACTCGAACCAGCCTCACTAGAACCAGATGACCAGGAGCGAGGACGCATCTTTCCCTCAGACTTATGTCGCACTTGCTTTTTGTACAAAACAGGCTTATCTTCAACAGTGCTGTTACTAAACTTGTTTTCTTTTTCATTTTTACTTTTCTTCTGCTGGCTTCTTTCATGTACAGTGGCAGATACTTTATTACTTCTCTCTTTAGTTATTTCACTTTCACTATTGCAGTCCTTTGGAGAAGATGTATCTGTGCTCGTTGGTGGAGCAGTGGATGAAGATGAGGAGCTAGAGTAAGAGCATACTTTGGATTTATTCCATACAGTCATGATTTCCTGCAGGCAAACTGGCTTTTCAGAAAGAGGAGGAAATGCTTCATAGTACCTGAAAACAGAAAGATGACATTTGGATCTCAGAACTTCAGATGTGCATTAAAATTAGAAGCATTACTAAAAAAAAGTCATTTTACTATCTCTAATTGCCAATAAACCTAGTTTGTTCTATACACACACATGCCACTCAGCCCTACTTGAATGAGAACAAGAAAGGGGAGATTAAGAAAAACTTAACTCCTAATATCTAACTCCTTATTAAGTAGATAATGTAGCAATTCACTCTATTCACTTAATCATGTTTGATTTAGAGTATCAATAAGAAAGCCCTGAATCGCAGGCTATCAGCTGATTCTTCTCTCTGAAGGGAGACACTTTCTGTTGGCCTCTACATAGTTTGATCTCCCAGGTAAAACAAACAAAAACACACAATTGCAAGAACCAAACATTATCACTGTGATGGTTTTGCAGAGAGATTCAAAAAGCCCCAATTTCTAATGAGATGCCTTATGTTGCTGACGGCACAGAAGAAGGAGGTAGGTAATTTAAGATGCAGTCAGAACTTTAGCCAACAAGGACAAGGTTAAAACATGTTTTCCTGTGATGTTCAAAGCAGCCTAGGTTTGACAGTCCAGAGTTTTATACTAAATACACATATTTCAGTGAAAACCTGTTCAAAAACACTCAGAGTCAATCAAGTATCTATTACTAGGGTGTAGATCCACGTCACTTTCCTTGTTGTAACTTCTGCTATCCTAAAAGGATCGCGTTGGGTGATACCAGACATTAGTACATCAACCTGAATGTCTTTTAGTCACTTAAATGCACATTTGGACAACCAGTTCTCCCACTGCTTTTTAGAAGATTTAGTATCCATTCAGCACCACTTCTACTAGAATGCTGCCACTGTTAACAATGCCCTTTTTTAAAAAGATAAATGAACAGAACAGCAACAGTCATCTCTCAGAGTGAAGTCAAAGACAAAACTCTTGGGTAGTTCAGTGACTTGGGTACTTGGGTAGCAGGAGACCCCTTTGTAAATAAACAGCTTCAGTTTCCCACTTCTGCTGCAGAGCATAAAGAGCCCTGAAGGCAGGAAACCATGTCTGCCATGTGTCAATTCATGCTATTTTAAAGGCTTTTAATTTGCCTCGCTGACTCGATCTTAAAACTTCTAAAACACAGAATGCCTTAAAATTCAGGTCTGCATATAGTCACAGGAAAGCAGTGAGGACTTCCCCATAAATTGAACCAACTTGTGTTATCAATTGGCCATATTTAAATATTTAAGACATGCAAAAAAAGATGGGAGGAAAGAGGATTTACTTCCTAACATCAGGAAATCCATATTTTATACTTAGTTAACTTCACTGTTTTCAAATATAAGAGTAAAGAGAGAAAACAGAAAACAATCTCCAACAACAAAAAAACAATACATTTCTACTTGATCCTTTGCTGTGGGAGATAAATCAGTCTCAGGAGACAACGAGCCTTCTAACTTCTTGTGAATCTTCTCCTCTGTTTTGGAAAAAAGAAATGCAAATGTTTACGAGAATTCAAGAAGCCAATGTATTTTGTAATAGTATTTCAAAAAACACCCCAGGATTTACACAAGTAACAACATATTTCCATACAGTATGAACAGAACACTTACAGTCTGATCATAATGCATTAAAAAATCGTAAGGCATCACTCAAGATTCATATTTTCCACAATTATTTTGTTAGAGTCCAGAAATTTCACCAAACATAACCAGATAGCAAGTGCAGGCCACGTTGTGTCAACAGCATCTTCACTACAAAACTTCTTATTGAGCTCTTTCATATCCGGATCCTTAGATCCTTCTTACCTTGCTACATAAAAACATTTAGTTATGACAGCATCTATTTTCTTGGGTGTTTCAGTAAAATAAAGTTCTCCTGTGGTAGCTTCTGTGTTTTAGGGCAACATTTAATAAGACAGATATCCTGAGCAAGAGCTGACTTTAAAAAGTTTAAACCTTTATGTTAGCATCTATAAAATAAATTTGCTTTCTTTTTCTCTTTTCTCCAAAATAAACAGTTGGCACTATTCTCAGTGAGGTGTCACTGCTAAACATTATAAAGCACCTAGAGCTGGTTAATTATACTTCTGCTATTTAAAAACAAGCACAGGACTTGAAATAACTAAAACTAAGTTTTAACTATGCATGTAAATACTTATTCTGGAAGAGAAGCAAAAGTTCAAAGTGGCATAGTTATGCACAGAAAAGTATGTGTCATGAATCCGTGTCAGTTTTTTTTTTTAATCAAAATAAAAAAAATAATTGGAGGGCTTTCTTGTTTTTTTTTTTTCCCATTTCTCAGGGGTTAGCCAACGCCTCAAGAAAGAAAGAAATCAAAATTTACCTTTATTTATTGCTATTTATACTGCACCATGAATACATTAATTTGTTTATATAGTGTTAAAGGCTGCTGTTTTGTGCCTGAGAAACATTCCTACACAACAAATTTCCACTGGGACACTGAAGTTAGGTATTATGCTCCCTGTGCTACCCTGCGCTTGAGAACATAAAGCCCCATCACGATTCTCCCTAAAACCTGCAAATTTTAACCAAACCTCTTTGTGAGACTGCTACATTTTTACTGGAATAGGTAGTATATACACCAACTCTGAGGGCATTCTATTCTTCTCAAAAATCTATATGCAAAATGAAGAGAATGAAACCTACTTTCTTGTTTATGTTTTGGAGCTTTTGTTTATTTTTGTGAAGGAATACTGAATAGAAAATGTTTACTAAAAAAGAATGCATAACTGGACTTGAATAGTTTTATCTTTTCATACGGAAAAACATATTTATGAATGGCTCTTTTTTAGGTAAAAAACACATACTGTTATAAATTTTGTTGAGCTATTTGAATGAAACTATTCAAGTGTATCTTAAAATTGCATCGCCTACACAAAAAGCTATTGAAATAACAGCTCCCCTCCCCCCCATCTCAGACTGGTATGTAATTGGTAAATATGATATATGACTACAAAAGAATAAAGTATTGTAACTTACCTTGCTTACTCTGAAGGTCTTTCAATCTGGAGCAAAGCTCCTCCACTAAAGTTTCAATCCCAGAGCTCTGTACAATAATACCACAAAAGAAAACAAGAGGGGTGGAAAAAAGCACAGTATGTAACTTAATAAAAATATTCATTTTTTATATTTATATAATGACATTGCTACAGTAAAATATCTCAGTAACTATTAAAATCCAACAAAAAGTGGGGATAAAGCTATTTCCACAAATAAGAAATCCGATATCGGAATGATTACATAAAACAACTAAGTACAATTGCACCAAGGTTTCTTACAGAGTCATATACATTAGTACTGTATGTGCAAAGTTTTGCAAATTGTGCACCATCATGTCTACTGCACGGTATCACTTGGCATTTATCCGAGTGTCTCAGGCTGAAAGTTCAGTATCTAACCACTGAGATGCCTTTAGAGAAGCTAGGCCTGAGGCGTCGTCTTCCACAGCTCAGATCAGGGGAAGGAGCCTGTTCCAGGACACACAGACTCCGAAGTGGAGGTCAGGAGGGGAACCGCACAGAGGTGCATGTTCGGGTAGGAGGGAGGGAGAGGAAAGTTTTCCAAATATCCTCGGGAAAAAAACATCCCATAGTTCCACAACTTCACAATGTCCAGTTTCTTCTTTTAAACTTTGTGTTGTTCGCTAAGGAAAGCAGAGGGAAAAGGGGACAATTTCACATTCTCTCTATGCCAATATTTGTTCTTCACCTCAAACTCTAGCTTCCTTTACAGTCCGTTTTCCATGCTATTCTTGCACACAGATTTTTCTGCATTTGCTATCTACCTAGCCTTGCAAACAACATTAGATAAAAGTACCACTACTAAAAAGATTTTATAAACAACAATAATAATAAAAAAATGCAGCTTCTTACATCCTATCCATAGCTTCCCCCAAAGCAACCCCAAAATCTCCATCATCCTTGGAGATTGAGGCTTATACAAACCTCCTATAAAATTATCCCACCTTCTGAATGTGACATAGTCTTGTCCGTACACAATCACGGAGTATGCATTCTCTCTAAAGGTAACACAGGTCACAAATCAAGAGGTAACAGAAAAAAAAAAAGAAAAAAAAAAGCATAGTAAAAAGTGCAAGATTTGCTGTGTCACTATGGTGGCATGATTTTTTTTTTCCATGCTGCAAGAGTTCTTACTCTCTCCTGCTTGCCAGATATAAATTGCTGTTAAGTGTAGATATCTAAGTAAAGTGCAAGTAAATTTTATGGAAAAAAGAAAATTCTAAATTATATAGTGAAACTAGCTCGTTAATTGTCAAAAACACGCATCTGAAAAGTCATATACTGAAGCAACTGACTTACAAGCTAACTTTTAAATTTTAATTATTTGTAGTCAAGTGAAAAAACAATTTTCTATTCCTAACTGCATTGCTGCACTGCTGAAGTGCTAAATATAAAACTTTATGCCAGAGTCAACCGAAGATGACTTAGCAGTATGAAACGTTAGAGCGAGTTTTGTTCACTAGTAAATTTATTAATTTAACTCATTCAGGAAGAAGCAAGCAGCACAACGATATGGACAATCCTATGTAGCTGTAATAATTGCCAGTTTATACACATACTATTTATGACTTTTTCCCCTCTGTCCCCGCAAAAGGGCAGAAGAGGAGGAGCTGGCATCGTTTTTGCTCAGCTTTCCAAACAGGCTAACTGCGTAGGCAGCTGGAGCAAACCCTCACAACCTAAGCCCCCTTCGCCTCCTTCACTTAACTATAACATCACCTTATAAAAAAAGCAAGCAAGTGCAACGGCAAGATGATCAATATGCTCACCATTCTAGCGAAGAAGCGAAAACTTTTGGAATCAAACACTTCATTTCCTCCTGAAGCATGAAACTAATACTCGAGTCAGCTGACAGCCCTGCATGCTGCTCTCCTACGAAGCTGGCACCAGGCTTAAAAAAAGCCGCTGCGCAGAGCGCCAAGTCCCCGGCGCCCGTTTACTCGGGCTCGTGCTGCAGCAGGCAAGCACAGCCGGCAGGCTCCGTGCGCCGGGCTTCTCTCGGCTCTCTAGCTGCGCTTTGCTCAAGGTGTCAGGTAACTACTGTGGTTTTTTAATTCTGTAAGTGAACGCATTGTAGTTATTCCCACATCCAGCAAGAACAGCTTGGCTAAGGAAGATAAAACGAATTCAAATATATGTGTGCATGTATATGGCATGCCTGATGCTTTCCTAATCTTAAGATTTGAAGAAAGTCACAAAATAGTACAAGCATTGGAGCACCCGAGAAGTAGTTTTTAGCCTAAAATTCTTATAAAAGCCACCATGATTAGTGCTAAGTCCGACACAAGAGTTTAAAACTCCAGATGACCTTAGAAATGATCTAACTAATGACCTAGATTTCTGTTACTCTTTTTCTCTAATCCATGCTACACCAGGCAGCTCATCACTAGAATTCATGTTTTGATATTGTATTCCACATCTTCCTCCATACCGAACATTTGAGTCCCTTTCCAACATGTGTTTATTTCCTTCCCCCGCTTTCATTTATATGCAGTTCCATCAAAAGCTCTTCTTTCTGGCTTTTCATCAGCTGGCTGAAACGAGGAAGGGATTATATAAAGGATAGGTGTCACGTTACTGGTATGGGAGCGACTATGCTAATAGATAAATTAAGCTTCTGAACTCATCCAACGGGAAGAAAAAGTCATTTTGATGGAGGAGTTGCAGGACTCTCTCTAACAGCCAGTGTCTTGCTTGCAGAACAACATGACTTTATTCAGAACTGATTTAACATTCTTTTACGCAACAAGAAACAAGAGCTGTTCAAAAAGGCAAGGGTCACACAAACTTGCACGTGTGTGTGCACACATATAAAGTAAATCAAAGTTTAAATCTCAAGCTCAGAGCAACTCAATTGCTTTTGATCATACATTAAAAGCCTTGCGCAGTTTCCAAAAATTTTCTCAGAAGATTCTAAAAATCTATAAATTTAGCTGCTCCTGACATACTCCTCTAAGTTTAAAACAATTAATTTAATTGTGAACCATAGAAATAAAACAATATTACTGATGTCTAAGTTAGGTTCAGTAAAAATTGTTTATGTGAATAGAGGACATCAGCTTTTATGTCCCCACAGTTTGATCAAGCTTCTGCAAAATACTAGGTCCTACCAGATTCTTGAAGATTTGCTTTAATTCTTGTTGCCATTTATCTCTGCTAGTAGACGATTTCTGAAAGTTGCAAAGAAACCCAGCAACATCATCACCTAGAATGTCACACATATTTTTCCCAAATTTGTTGTCACAAAATTGTACATATTATTACCTCACAAAGCTACTCAATAGCGCTACAGATGCCATCAATCAGAGACAATGTTCCCTTCCCTCTCCCACTGATCCCAGTTATTGCTCTCACATTTCCAGCCAAAAAACGCCAAACACACTGTTCTACAGAGTCAACCTGCACATACGCAAAAGCCAACAATTCTGGACGAAAAAGAAAAGAAGTCAAAGAAAACATGTCAAGGAAGAAAGACTTGCAGAAGCCAGTATTTGGGCTCAGCTTTCCAAATCTGATAGATCATACCCATAGGAATGGAAAAATTCTATCACATTAGACAACTAAAAAGGTTTTTTGCTTCTACTGCATCTAGGAGAAGGTAAGCTGTGTTAGGCTAGAAGCATTAAACTGCATCCTGTACACTGTTAAACGCTGCTTGTTCTTGAAGGCCTGTAAGTTATTGGGAAGTTTCCTTGTTGCTCCTTAAGCTTTTTCAAAAGCCAGAAGTATTACACTTTAGATTAACAAGCAAAATAATTGATCATTTCCTTTAAGAATATTGAGAACTTTCTTGCTTCCGCCTTTAAAGCAAATCCTCATTTCTCTTTCACAGAATGCAACTTTGAGCAATCTAGAAATTCAGGTCAGTACGTTCCAAGGTTCAGAGTCCCCTTTTGACACTTTGCAGGACACTCCAGAGAGACGAGGCTCTAGCTGCAGCAGACTGTTTGCTTGGCAAGTAGCCTGTCACCAAGACAAGACTGGGGAACTATTCCACGCGAAGCAGCCATTAAGCCACGTGAACTGAACAAGGCACAAAATGTGATTCAGTGCAATCACACATCTATTTCTGTATTTTTGAGGCTGATGTGAGCTAGATAAGAGTTTGTACTTTCAGTTTTAGAATTTCTGATATAGTGTAATTTATGTGGTAACAAGTACAAATGTCTTGGACGCTTTATTTTTTCAGAGGTTTCATGAAAAAGTCATGAATTCTCCCTTCTTAATTGGCAGACACTCAGTAGAGCTTCAACAAGCAGCCCTGGGCGAGAGCGGATTGAAACTTGCCTATCACTAGCCAAGGGGAGGAAAAAAGGGGGTGCAAAAATAGCCCCACTGCCTCCCAACTTTGAGATATTTATTTCCAGTGACTGCCAGTTATTTCATATCCTTCTTGAACTTACAAATTGTATTACATACACTAGAGTGAGAAATTACTGTGTCTTCTTTGCTAACTGGAGGAATTTCCACTCAAACTTCAGTTCTTGGATATGTAATTCATCTATATGCTGAATATCCCATTTGTCTTCACTGTAAGCTATATGTTTAAGCTGATCACTCGAGGCACAAGATTTTCAGGTAAATTTAGATGGGTGTTTCTGTTTGTGTGACACTATCCTGCATCAGCTTCAGTTCATCTTCACAGCAAAGTACCTGCGTTGAGAATAATGCTGTCAATACAGGCATTCAGAATAAGCTGAGCACTAAATAGCATGAAGAGTAGTTGTTCATCGCTTCTTCGGGGTTTTGATTCGGCACAAGCACTCAGCACTACCCCAGATACACAAGTAGCAAGAGAAAAAAGCATCTGGCCCAGTTAGCGCTACCTGGTAGCGCAAGCACAAGTGACCTGGGCACCTGCCCAAGACTGTCACTGTTACCTGAGCAGGTTTTAAGGCTCAAATGGGAACTATTATTTGAATTTACATAGAGGAGTACAGGTATAATGCTTAATCTTGTTAGAGAAAGCACCTAATCCCAAATTAAATCCAAGAATCTTCACTGCTGAGTAACCATAAAGAGACAT